ATAATCTATTATTATTATTATTATTATTATTATGTATTTATTTATTATACTCAAATAGTTGCTAGTTATGCTAAAGCCACAAAGCGGTTTCATTTAGAAGTCCAATTTCGGGACATTTTTCGGTACCCTGCACGCTTGGCAACAGTCTAGAGACAAATGAGATGTAGCAATTAATTTCGAACCAGCTAAAAAAGGCTGCTCAGATCAGACAGTAAACAGTTCGGTTACCTTGTTGTTGTACTCCCAGGTGCTGGACGTGGGTGTACAAATTGCGCGCCAACACCTCCGTGTTGCCGTCGGTTACCGCCTCCAAGATGGCGTCATAGATGAAGATGTATTGGTCTTCTGTTTGCACCATGAAGTTGCGTTGCCTCCGCATGCCACACACGACACCGTAAACGTCGACGGTCTTCTCATAATGCAACCTTTCCAGAAGAATGTCGATTGCAATGAAGGCGCCTGTGCGGAAAAGAGATGAGAAAGCGATGTCACTCGAGGCCGTTGTGACCGTTGAGAGATGGTGCCGATCGGAAATTCGGCTCAGTTGCCATGCAATCGGGTCAGGATGAGAGGGTTCGAGGCTTTTGGTAGATCTTACGCCTTGAAGTTAGGCGGGTCAGGGCTGTTTACATTTGAGTGGCGATGATCAACTCAACTTTCCACGACGAAATGGATAGGAAATCCTCGCCCATGGCCACAAAAGACTGTTGAACACCTCATCCGTGTCGCGACGACAACTGCGAGTTGTTAGTCGGCAATTCTAACATTCTGCCAACTATCGGCAGCTTACTTCCATTTCGAGTGAAGGATTTGGGTGAAGAGATTCGAAGGTCGGCTCTACCAGAAGACGACCAGCTGTCGGTCGGCTTGACTGGAACATTCAAGATGACGCTGTTTCCGAGGCAATCTCCTTCGATTTCGGTAAACACGTGCTCAGCTTTCGTCCGTCAGAGCAAGGTATCATCGTCACAACCAAAATGAAGCTAACGAGTAAAGAAAACTCGCCTTCAAATCCCTAAAAAGTGGTACACAAACTCTACATCTGACCTCTTTGATCAAGTATAAAGTGATTTGGTTAGTTGCGGTCATACGTCAACTTCGATGCATGTGAGTGTGTATGTATGTATGTATGTATGTATGTATGTTTTTGATTTGTTGAGAAAATTCATATACCACTTTTGGGGATTTGAGTTAACGAAGATCATCAGACGAAGGTATCATCGTCACAACCAAATTGAAGCTAACGAGTAAAGAAAACTCGCCTTCAAATCCCTAAAAAGTGGTACACAAACTCTACATCTGACCTCTCTGATCAAGTATAAAGTGATTTGCTTAGTTATGGTCATATGTCAGCTTCGATGCATGTGAATGTGTATGTATATATGTATGTATGTATGTATGTATGTATGTATGTATGTATGTATGTATGTATGTATGTATGTATGTATGTATGATATTTATGTATGTATGTATGTATGTATGTATGTATGTATGTATGTATGTATGTATGTATGTATGTATGTATATATGTTTTGATTTTTTGAGAAAATCCATATACCTCTTTTTAGGGATTTGTGTTGAGTGAGTTTTCTTGATTCGTTAGCATGAATTTTGTTGTGACGATGATACCTTCGTCTGATGATGTTCGTCACATGACGGACAAAAGCTTAGCCCGTTTTCACCGGAAATTGCCTCGGAAACAGCGTCAGCATGTATTTTCCAGTAAGACTAATTGACAGATGGTCAAGGGATCGAGTTCAGAATCTCTTCACGCAACACTTTCACTCGAAACGGAAGTAAGCTGAACAATTATGAAACTATCGGCAGTACCATTGGAGGCCAAAGGAGAGAACTCTGACATTTCACATTTTTCACGTACTACTTAAGTATCGAATGAGTAGGCTTCGAAACTATCTAAAGCTATTTTAATAAGAACTCGAGTCACCATAGATCGTCTAGCTGTAGCTATTCATCGTGCTGAGCTGATTTCTTATTCAATGTCTACTTATAGATTACTTATCGAATACTGTACATTGGGTACATTTTCATACTGGAAAAATGTAAATTTTAACATTCTTGACATGCATTAAAGGTACTAACCGATGAGAGCCAAGCACATCGGACTCCGCGAGGAGGCCGTGTGGAAGACAAGAATGCGTAAACTTTTGTGCTATCTCCTCAAAAGACCCACGGTTGGTCACATTTATTTGATTTGAGAACATTTTCCGTTTGCATTTTATGCTTATTCAGTACATTTATGCGTGAATTTCGATTCTAATGAAAGCATTTTCGCACGACTAAAACCCATAAACTGATCCTCCACACAAGGGCTGCCCTGGTCATTAGTAGTCCTAATTGAAAACTGCAACTGAACTGGTCCCATCTCTGACCACAAGTCACACTTGCTTTCATGTATGCACTTTGCATGACACACACACATACACACACACACAGACACACATGCTTGCATTTCCACTCTCGTTCGAGTTAACACTCGCAGCTCATTATCGCTCACACAAACTCTATAATGAAATGTATATTGGCTTTGATAATTTCATTAGAAAGTAGAATCTAAGCGAATCATTTGATGACCCAAACTGCTTAAATTCCAGTTAAGAGCAAACTCAACTGTACTTCTCATGCCATTTTTCAAGACCAGCAAGTCGGTTTCGTTGGTGAAATGAAATATGAGACAATCACTTGGACACACAGGCATGACTTCAGCTCTATTTCCATTGAATGTGTGTGATGTAGGTCGAGTATACCATCTTATGTCGGGACAATATTCAAGGTTGGTTGGTATACGATTGGCTATGGCCTCGGCTAAAGCTAGTGTCAGGTGGGAATAAAAATTAGTTAAATTATTAACTCTACACAAAAACGGATGTTAGCAAAACTAATAAAGA